AGCTGAAAAAATTTTAGACATCTCTACTGTAAGATTTAATACCCTGCCGTTAAGTCAACATGAGACACATCTCCCACATCTGCATAACTTTTAGGTCTTATTTTGCTAAAAGAGCATCTATATCCTTTGTGATCTCAAGTTGCATAACAAAGTCAACTGGGCACCATGTTTGTATCAGTCAGGGTCCTGGAAAAATCTAATGTCATACCCTAATTGGATAATTTGTAGTGAATGTGATAAAGGGATTATTTATAGAATAATTAAGAATCACAGGCAATTGTGCAGTATGCTGGGGCTAGAAACTCTGGGGTCTTTGGGGGGGTCTGTTACTACTCTCCTCAGTGGAGAAGGCAACTCTTGGAGTCTGGAGATGGGGCAGGCTGTGTGGAAGTGCCTGATGACAGGAGGCAATCAGCCTGTGTAACCCTGCAGAAGGAGAGCCAGAGAGATAAGTACTCTGACCTCATTCTCCTGTGTACTGTTTGGCCTCTCCAATGGCCAAACCCAACTGGAAGATTGTCAGTGTAGACCATACCGGTCACAGGGTGGAAAGGGTGGAGAGTGGGACTGGAGTGGCAAATGGAAGCTATCTAGCAGAACATTGTAAAAAGTCAAGGACTTCTAGATACAGTCATGAGATGCCAGTTTGATCTAGATTCAAGTGAGTGTAATTCTTAGTTTTAGTTTGAACATTATGGAAATGCTATCTCAACAGAAGCATTTGAATAACCATGATTAAAGGAATGAAATACATTGCAAAGGATCAACTGCAACGTTGTTCATAAAATGCAACAAATATTTATCGAATCCTTACTATGTTGCTAGTGCTGTGGTCATCTTGTCTATGAACCATATTGATGTTACTGTAATAGAAGGGAAAGTAAATGATGTTTATGTTGGGTTCAGTTCGAACTGCCCTTCCTTTGTAAACTTGTTTGTGTAAGAGATTGCACTTCTGATATGCTATCTGCCCTTCATGCATTGTATGGAGTGATTCTATTTTTGTTTGGTGAGGAAGATCAGCCCTGAGCTAACATCCATGCCAATCCTCCTCTTTTTCTTTTTTGCTGAGGAAGATCGGCCCTGAGCTAACATCTATTGCCAATCCTCCTCCTTTTTTTCCCTTTTTCTTCCCAAAGTCCTAGTAGATAGTTGTATATCATAGTTGCACATCCTTCTAGTTGCTGTATGTGGGACACCGCCTCAGCATGGCTGGACAAGCGGTGCGTCGGTGCGCGTCTGGGATCCGAACCCGGGCTGCCAGGAGCAGAGCGCACGCACTTAACCACCAAGCCACGGGGCTGGCCCCTGGATTCTTTTGTATCAACCAACCTTGTCCTGTTATGTTTTATAGGAGGATGGTTTCCAGGAGCACATAAAGTAAACTTTTTAGCAGTTCAGTTATTCATGTGCAAGTTTTAATGTATGGAACAAACATTAAAATTGCAGTTACAGTTTCCTCCTTGTAAAATGGGGATTAAATGAGATAATACATATACATGACCCTTTGTAAGCCCTTAATGAGAGTGAACTGATTTTGAAATAAAAGAGAAAGACTGCCAGTCTCCCTACCCTCAAAATTCAATCTGTGTTCATGTTTCCTTATTCTCTTTTAAACCTTGTCCTTGTGCATATATAGTTTCTACATGTTACGAGGCTTTTATTTGCAAGTGAAAGAAACCCAAACTTTAAGCGGGATTAGATGTGATGTCATTAGGGCATTGTTTCCATTTCTTTCTCTAAGAGGTCTGCCCTTCTCCAGAGGGCTCCATCCTCAGGCTGACTTCCTTCAGGGCGTGAAAAAGGCTGTGGCTGTTTCAAGCTTCACGCCTACATACCAAACATCTTAGTCAGCTTGGGCTGCCATAACAAAATACCACGGATGGGGTGGCTTACACAGCAGGAATTTGTTTCTCACAGTTCTAGAGACTGGAAGTCCAACATCAACGTGGCAGCAAGGTCTGCATTTGGAAAGGACTCTCTCCCTGGGTTGCAGACAACCACCTTCTCACTGTGTCCTCATATGGACTTCCCTTATTGCTTGTGGGTGGAGAGAGAGAGGAAGTAAGCTCTGTGGTGTCTGTTCTTACAAGGGCACTAACCCTATCATGAGGGCCCCACCTTTGTGACCTCATATAAACTTAATTACCTCCCGAAGGCCCTATCTTCAAATACCATCACACAGGGCTTCAATATATGAATTTGGGGGTGGGAGGATGCACTTCAGTCCACAGCACTAGATTTCCAGACAGAGAGAGATTTCCCCACACTGTCAAAAGCTCTGTTTCCACTTTGGACTAAACTAAACTGGTCACTGTAGCCAGGGAATGCCATGGACTAACTAGCTGAGTTTTTGTCCACAACTAATAGAATCATCGTAGCGGCGGGGGGGGCGGTTGGGGACAAGATTATGAGGATTGGCTTGTATTGGGGACGGGGAACTTCTGCCCAAGCAGCATGGCTACCACATGAGGCAGGAAGGGAGGGAAAGAAAGGCATCAACAGTGTCCACTACCTTTAACTCACCTGTTCCCCTGTTGTTGGATAGTCAGCTTGTTTTCAGTGATAGATTCCTGTTCAATAACATAACTAAATTGAATTTCAAAATATCTCATGAAAGTGCCTTAATGTTAGGTTCTCAGAATTTTTGTCTGACATGCTCGGCAGTGGTTGCTGTTTAATGGACAAAAGCTAGTACTCCTGAAACCAAGCTTTCCAGAAAATCAATATTACTACAACGGTGGAGCCCTTGCTTCCATCCTAGTTTCCTCATAAAGAAATCCAGTCTTGACATGATTTTTGAGCTGCTTTTCTCAGGCCACATTGCTCAAGAGAATGTGTTAGTAGGTTACTGTCAAAGCCCAAGGCTGTAACCTTCTGTCCCCACCTAGAAGCAAACGGTATTTAAAAATTATTTATTTATGAGTTCTTAAAGGACAATTCAGGTCATTGGGGTTGGGTTTGCCACAATTAAGACTGATGTTTGCTTATACTGAGGAAACTGGATTTTCATCCTTAAGTTTTTGCTGTTGTCATCCCATTTTGAATATTTCATTATTATACGTAATTATCTAAACAATACATTTAAATGCAGCCTCTGTGATTGATATCATGCTAGACACTCTGGAGAATAAAAATGATGTGTAAGAGATGGCTGTAGGAAGGATAACCTCTAGGCAGAGGAACAAGACTAATCACATAGAAATGACACAACAACCCCATCCTAAGTGTGTGATACGGGAAGACTGGACAGTAGAAATTTAGAGGAAAAAAGATCCCAGTGGGCTGAGGATTCATGGGGTCTTCATGGTGGAGGTGGCACTTGGATTGGGCTCTGAGGGATGTGTAGGATCTAGATGGAAAAAAGAATCAGGGGGAATAGCATTTGCAAAGGGCTGAGAATAAGTGCTGGCATGGCGGGTGTTGGCATACCTGAGAAGTCAAACCAGAGTGGCAGTTGGGTGTGGCTCAACGATCAAGACTGTTTCGACCTTGTGGCACCTCCATCTCAACACATACGTCCGTGGTTGAAGATGCAGGTAGAGGGTCTCATTGTCAGTTAGGTGTGTTGGCCCAGAAATGACACATATGGCTGCCACTCACAATCAATTGGCCAGAACTAGTCATGTGACCCAAAGGTAAAAGAAGCGGAAAAGTAATCTTCCCATGTGCCCAGAAGTGGGTGAGCCCGGCCCTCAGTGTAGCCGTGTATAAAGAAAACTCCACAGCACTCAGAGCAGCCACATATGAGGAGAATGTCCTCCAACAAGTCTGTTGATGTTGGAGCCACAGAAGTTTGGTGAAGTTTTCAGTCCCTTAAAAAGAGCTTATGTTTTTCATAGTCCTCAGAATTTTAGGATTCTGTATGGCCTGGGCAGTTTACAATCATGACCCCAGTTTAGAATAGGCTGATATTTCACAGTAAATGCATGAAGGATAAAATGAGACCATTCCTAGTGGTTTTGAGAGATTTGGTGTTAGTAATGAGGGTGAGGGTGTGACAATTATTTATCTAAATCCCACCTGGTGTGGTTCACTGAAGACATAGATCTGGTATTTTGATCTCGTCCTTAATGCTATTTTTCCAAGGGGAGGGCTGACGCCGCGATTGAGGGAGAGGTCGGAAAGACAGCCCAGCACCTCTTTGGGCCTGTGAGCTGAGAGAATTTTCTGCTCCCTGACAGTTGAATCAATTCTGTCACACAGGCACCGATAATTAAACAAAGAAGTACGAAATAACCCATGGAAATGGAGTCAGGCTTCATGTTCCAACAGGATTGGCACAGCCGTTAGCCATGCACCACCTCTGGGGGCTTCCAGGAGAACTTCATTTATTGCATGTCACTAATCGGCCTCTTCATCAGGGGTCCACTAGTCTACTTCCAGGGTGAAAAGAAAGGGAGTGGCAGTTCTTTGAAATGGTGAGCCTTTTGGTGCCTGTTGGAGAAATCCCTTTGTCAGCACTGATTTTGTTTGGAGGAAGGGTGTAAGAGTGATATTCCTTATCAGCTAGAGGGAAGGCAAGATGGAACATGGAGAGTTCGAACAGAATTGCAATAGAAACTTGCAATTTGAGATACTTTGATTTTAATATCAAGTCCTGTAAAAACTTACTGTGAGAATTTGGGCATGTCACCAAATTTTTTTGGACCTATTTCTTTCGTAAAGAAAAAAAAGAATAAAAAAATCCTAGCCTGCCTATTTTGGAGAATTAATGGGAAAAGCAAATGGTATGAGAAATATGCAGACCCTTAAAAAGCATGAAGGTAATGGAATGGGTACTTTTCTCTTTACAAAGTAATACATTTTATTATAAAATTTTTGGAAAATATGGATAAGCACAGATAAAAATTTAACATGAAAATCATGAAAACCAAACAAAATACCATTACATAGAGATAACTGCTATTAACAAATGGGTGTATATCTTTCCAAGAGTTTTATAATCTACTCTTTCCATTTGAAGCACATTTTGAACCTCTTTTCATATTGTTACATGTTTTAAATGGATGTGTAGCATTCCGCTGAATGATGGTATTTTAACTTGTAAAATTAATGCCCTATTTATGGATATTTAGGCTGTCTTCAGTTTTGCTCCACTTTGGTGGCTATTTAGAACTTCCCCTTGTCCATTGTTAATCAACTATGTGGTTTGGGTGAAATTTTCCTTCTCTCTCCCCCTCCCCCTTCAAATTAGCCCTGTTTGGTGTAAACTACTCAGTGTAGCCTCATGCCTGTCGCCATAGCAATTTGTTCAGGAGTGAGCAAGGAACTGTTGGGGAGGGGGAAATTCCCCCTTCTACGCTTCTTGTGTTCTTATGGCTGGACTAACAATAAAATTGGTGCAAGACCAGATGAACTGGAGAAAACCCAATTTAATATGTACGTATTGGAGATCACAGAGAAGTGATGCTCAGAGAGTGAACAAAGCAGGCAGTATATGTATCTTTTACACATAAAAACAATACATTTGTGAGGAATGACAGAACAAAGAAACCTAGGTTTGAGGTACGTAATTAGTGAGGAATTTAAACAGAGTTTAGTCTTAAGGTAGTAAATTAACAAAGTTTGTTTATACGAGCTTCTTGGCCCTGAATTCCCTAGCTCTGGTGGTAAGGATGCAGGGAGAGCACCTTTCACATGGGAGATTTATTTCCTGCTATCAGGAGGAAAAGAAGAGGGTCAGAATGCCCTTTTTGCTTCTCAAGTAACTTTAACTCAAAATAATCAATATACCATTGCGGGATACTTTGGCGCGGCCTGTCCTGGGCCCCAACAGAATCTACATTAATTCTGTTGGAACAAAGCTCAGCACTTGTGTGCTATGGCTGGGGAAAGAGAAAAATCCCCCTCCTTCTATAACAGCTGCAGTCATTTTAAAAAAAGTCATGTGGGGGCTGGCCAGGTGGCATAGCGGTTAAGTTCGTGCCCTCTGCTTTGGCGGCCCAGGGTTCACAGGTTCAGATCCTGGGTGTGGACCTACTCACTGCTCATCAAGCCATGCTGAGGACATGTCCACATAGGGCAACCAGAAGGATGTACAACTATGACATACAACTATCTCCTGGGGCTTTGGGGGAGAAAAAGGAAAAAAAGGAGGAAGATTGGCACCAGATGTTAGCTCAGGGCCAATCTTCCTCAAAAAAAAAAAAAAAAGTCATGTGGAAGCCAAGTTAAGGACAAAATCAGCACGTGGAGGAAGGCAGAGCTGGGAGAACTGGTGGGAAATGAAGCTGAGCCCAGATAGAACAGTGGTGGAAACACAAACTACTTCTGGACCTTTCAGTATAGGAACTAGTGGACTCCCTTTATTACTGTACCCAGTTTGAGTTGAGGTTTCTGTTACTTGAAGCCAAAAGCATCCTAGATGACACGACCATTTTAAAGAGCACTGCAGTAAACATACAAAGTTAAATCTTTGTGCACATCCACAACTTCTTCTTTTGCATATATTTTAGTAGAATTATGGAATTGGGGCATGTGTGCCTGCCCAGATCCCCTCGAATTCATTTTTATAGTCTTTGTGTTCCCACTGGTTTTGATGTGCTTTCACTGCCAACAGTAGGTACCTGGGGGCCCTTTTTAGGAAAACTGCACTTGGGCTACTGGAATTTGCCCCCTGGAGAGACTGAAGTGCGTGGAGATTTACTGTGGTGCCTGGAAGCCACTCTGGCACAGCCCTTACCCAGGGATGGGTGGATGAAGGAGTAGGAAGGCCCAGCTCCTTTGCCCCAGCTCTGAGGCATAACCTACACTTCAGAGTTCCCTGAGGGACCTGGATGAAGCCCCTGAGGTTCTGCTGGGCATGATCCTTTGAGTGGCCTCCTCTCATCTCTGTGCTACTTCCCCCACTCCCTTGCCAGTCTCCCCCGGGAGTATGTATTTAATAAACCACATGTACATAAATCCTCAACTTGGGGTCTGCTTCTGGGGAACGCATTCTAAGTCAGCTTGTGAACAATATTGGACAATTGTGCAATTGAACAATTGTTTTGTTTTCAATTGAACAATCAGGTTTTTGATTGAATTAGCTTTTAGTTAAAATGATGAAGAGCTACCACAACCACTGGGCAGGTGGGATGTTACGATGGTCTGGCTAGTGACACTGAATCTCAGGTACCTCAGTAATTAGATGACAAAAGAGAGGGCTTCAAGGCTTCTGACAGTGGTTTGCTGAGCACACTTCTGCTGTGCCATTTTGAAATTGGCTTTGGGTGGCTGAACGACTGTGGCAGCTCTTACTTCCTTTGGGAAACTGAATATTATCCTGTCTAGCAGAGCTCAATATTATGGTCTTTTTGCTGAAGTCTAAAGCTCCTTCATTTAATTTTATCCCATTTTCCCTAGTTATAGTCTCTTGCACAATCCTAAAAACTCTTTATATTTTGTACTAACAATTCTCATATAATAAAAGATGGGTTGTTCTTGTACTGCAAAATGCGTGAGTCGCCCTGCAGGAGAGGGGATGGGGGTAATGGCATATTAAAGCCCTGCAAGGGGGCTGTTCTGTTCTGGGAGTGTCTCCATCCCCCCATGCGTTTGGGTTGGTGATGTTAGCATTGCCTTGGATTCCTCTCTACCTTTCATAAATATTTTCCATTTGTCCTTCCAGTTCTCTCCTGTCTGTTCCTTCCCTTGCATTTCCATAGTGACTACTTTAGTCTGAGCTCATACCACTTATTATGGACTGAATTGTGCCCCCTCCGAATTCATATGTTGAAGCCCTCACCCCCGACATGACTGTATTTAGGAGATAGGGCCTTTAAGGAGGTGATTAAGGTTAAATGAGGTCATAAAGGTGGGACCCTAATCCCATAGGACTGGTGTCCTTATAAGAAGATGAGACACCAGCAACCTCTCTCTGTCCGTGCATGCACCGAGGGAGGACCATGTGAGGACACAGTGAGAAGGCAGCCATCTGCAAGCCAGGAAGAGAGGCCTCAGGAGAAACCAACCCTGCTGACACCTTGATTTTGGACTTCAAGCCTCCAGAGCTGTGAAAAAGTAGATTTCTGTTATTTAAGCCATCCAGTCTGCGGTATTCTGTTACAGCAGCCTGAGTAGACCAATACATCTTCTTACATTGGGATTTTTTTTTCAGTAGTATGTTATCAATAATAGTAGACTAGTATCCTGGTCTCCAGTTCATTCCAGTTTGATTAAATTCTTAAAGAAGCACTTACATCTTATTTCACTCTGAAATAAATCCTTCTGTGGCATATCAGTGGCCAAATCTTAAATGCTTCAGCTGGACATTCAAGATCTCTCTAACCCACCCCATGAAACACACTTGTAGCGTCTTCTCTATTTCCCAGTCCAAACCCCATGTTCCAGTCTCTTCCCTGTCCCCAAAATATAATGCCCAATGCTTCCTTGGCCTGGTTGGGACTTGCTCCAGTTTCTGTGCTGACTATCCAAACCCCTTCTGTTCTTTAGGCTCATCCTTAGCCTCACTTCATCTCTGAAGCCTCTTCTCATCTTTCCGGCCGACCTCTACATTACTCTCGTAGTTTTTGTCTTTTCTACTTGGATCTACACATAATGTTTTGATTTTAAGTGGTTCATGTTCCCTGCCTAGTTAGACACCTAGGCTGTGCTGTTTTCAGCTCTATCCCCAGCACTTGACACACACATAATAGATACAATAAATATTTGTGAGTGAACGAGTGAACAGCATTGCTGACAGGGCGCGAGTAGTGTGACCCACACACACTGGGCTGGGTCTAGGGTAGTACAATGTATGGAGTAGGCAGGGGAAAGCCCCAAGGGTGTTATGATTTAGTTGCTATTTAAACTGAACCTGAGTTGCTTAGATCTTTGGCCTGTGTCACTTTAAGCCTGGACTCCTCCCATCGGACAACACCCCCAGTGAATGGTGAGAAAAATGGCTTATGCATTGGTATGGGTTTCTCCCCCCAACCCATGTGTCCTGGTTTTCTTCTTTTGATATTGCCACTGCAAAGTAGAATTTCAACTTTGCAGAAATTTAAGAGAGAGAGGTGGTGCTTGAAACCGTTGGTGCCTAGAGTCTCAACTGGATGAGAATCTTCCCAGAGAGAGGTGGTGACTGAAACCATTGGTGCCTAGAGTCTCAAATGGATGAGAATCCTCCCCCCGGGCCTACCATCAGGCTATAAATAATACCTTCAGGGCCTAACCTGAGAATATAGACAGAAAGTGACTGTACTTTTGTGTATATGTTTAAATCCATATATGTAAGTCTATGTTCCTTGAGTAAAGGCCCATTCATTTAGAGAAAAAAGAGCCTGCTCCAAATTTCCCCTCTGGAAGTAGAAATTTTGTCCTTAATGAGACCAACACAAGTTATATATTAAGCCTGATATGCAGGGAGCACACTGGCTTTTGTATAGCACGTCATATGCCAAAGACTGTTAGAGGTGGAAGAAACCAAGGAATCAGGTGTGGGGTTTCCCAAATGCCATCAATCACTTACCACATTAATGTGTTTTTTTCCTTATTCACATTTCATCAGAAGTGATGCTTTGCATTGCTAAGGTCTCTTCAGCAATGCACGTGAGAATTCAGGATGAGAATCCGCACTAGGAATCCATTTCATCCATGTCGTCAATACTTCTGGACAGTTTGGGTGGAAGGGACAATTCCTGAAGGTTTGAAACCTTTACAGCGTGTACAAGCATCGAGTGTTGTTGTGCGTGGGGTGGGTCATCATGGTGTTGCCTATGTTAGCCTTCTTGCAGCAGTAATATCCAAGAAATTATGAAGCCGACAGGCTATGTAAATCTTTATTTTCATGTTTGGTAGAAAAATACATAATACAAAAGCATTCACCTTTGTTCTACCTATTTAATTTCTGTAGTGGTGCACTTTAGGAAACACTGATGTAGTCCAACTCTCTCATTTGAAGGTGAGAAATGAAGGGTCTGGAGAGGCTAAAACTCCTTGCTCAAGGTCATTCGGATGTTTAAGGGCAGAATGCTGGGGTTCTCGACTTCCAGGGGACCTAAATATTCTCCCAAATTACACTGCCACTTAATCTCCTAGGAATGCATAAAACAAATATTGGTGACCTCTTGGCATGCCAGCCTTAGGGTGAAATGGAGATCTGTGATTGGCTCTACTTTCAAAAACTCTTAAGAAATGAGAGTCTAGGAGAAAAAAGAAACAGTCATGCAAACAAAGACTTACTGGTCTGGGAGGGAGCCCCTGGTCCTCTAGCTCCATGCTGGGCTGAAACCTAGACGGTCCAAGGTGGACCTTGGGGACCTCTTTTCAGGACAAGAAGTCCACGTGGAAAGTGGAGTCAAGCAGGTAGACTTGGTGGTTCCTTGCCCTCATTTCAATTACAACCGCACAGTTTTTATATATTTTTCTAATTAATAACAGAGACAAAACTCCTCATCCAGCATTCCTAAATCTTAGAAAAGCAATGCAGCCTTGTGGGTCCACGAACACGGGTTTTGTGGTTATGCAAATTTGAACTTGAACCCCGGCAGAGCTTGAATGGAATTTTTCTCAAGTTTGAAATTTAATATTGCTCTTCTCACCAAATTAGACAAACTATTTCTCTAAGGATCGTGGGGCTTTTTGATGCTGGAGGCATTGTCGGTGTTATCATAGGGAGTGAGGTAAAAGCATCTTCCTTACTGTGTCGTACCCCAGACATGTCATTAGGAAGGAAGGAAGGAAGGAAGGGAGGAAGGAAAAAAAGGAAGGCTATATGGAGAAAGAGGGAGTCAACAAAGGTGGCAGAGAGCATGGCTCAAAGTCCCTCATGCTACTTCTACTGTGCTTCTACACGATCCGTGAGATCCTGCCTGCCAACAGAAATGTTGATAAGCACACGGCTTTTGTGTACTTTCTGAATTGGCAGCACTCATATGGTTAGGTTTTGGGGTCTCTGAATACCTCAAACTGGGAAATGTCATTAGAAAGTCATTTTAAAAAACATAAAGGCCTCAAAGCTTTATGACATTGGATTTGGCAATAATTTCTTGGATATGACACCAAAGGCACAGGCAACCAAAGAAAAAGTAGACAAATTGAACTTCATAAAAATTAAAACATTTTGTGCATCAAAAGACACTATCAATAGAGTAAAAAGGCAACCCACAGAATGGGAGAAAATGTTTGCAAATCATATATCTGATAAGGGATTAATATCCAGAATGTGTAGAGAACTCCTAAAACTCAACGACAACAAAAAAACTCCAATTAAAAAAAGTAGGCAAAGGACTTGAATAGACATTTCTCCAAAAACGATATATGAACAGCCAACAAACACATGAAAAGATGTTCAACATCACTAATCATTAGGAAAATACAGATTAAGACCCAATGAGATACCACCTCACACCCATTAGGATGGCTGCTATCAAAAAAACCCAGAAAACAGCAAGCCTTGATGAGGATGTGGAGAAATTGAAACACTTGTGTACAGTTGGTGGCAACGTGAAATGGTACAGCCATTGTGCAAAATAGTATGGTGGTTCCTCAAAAAATTAAAAATAGAATTACCATGTGATCCAGCAATTCCATGTCATGGTGTATACCCCAAAGAATTGAAAGCAGAGTTTCAGAGAGGTATTTGTACACCCATGTTTATAGCAGCAGTATTCATAATAGCTAAAATATGGAAGCAACCCAAATGTCCATTGACAGATGAATGGATAAGCAAAATGTGGTATACATACAATGGAATACTCTGCCTTAAAAAGGAAGGAAATTCTGACACATGTTACAACATGGAGGAAACTTGAGGACGTTATGCTAAATTGGCAGTCACAAAAAGACAAATCCTGTATGATTGCATTTATATGAGGTACCTAGAGTAGTCAAATTCATAGAGGCAGAAAGTAGAAGGATTGCCAGGGGCTGGAGGAATTGGGGAGCTGTTGTTGAATGGGTACAGAGTTCCAGTTTTGCAAGATGAAAAGAGTTCTGGACGTTGGTTGCCAAATAATGTGAATGTACTTCTGCTGAACTCAAAAATGGTTAAGATGGTAAATTTTATGCCATGTGAATTTCTCCAGAATTAAAAACCAGACACAACACCAACGCCCCTAGGAGACACAGTGAGTGTTTTTGTGGTTCACACCTGAGAGCTGACTCATTGTCAGGCTGCTCTTCTTCAGTCAACTAGCTGAGAACTGGTGCTGAGGGGATGGGAACTTGCGTGACAGAGCTTCTGAAACTAAGTACTGTGGTTCCTTTACTCATTTCTTCAGCAAATATGTGAGTGCCTGCTGGGAGCCAGGCACCATACTTGGTCCCAGAGATATCAGTGATTGCGAGGGAGTGAGAGGTGGGGTGGGGAAGGACAAAAATAAAAGAATGACAGTGTTGAGCATGTTACCAGATGATAAAGGTTATGGGAAAACTAAAGCATCAAAGAGGAAGAGGGGGCCTCAATGAGAAGGGGACATTTGGACAGACTCGGGGCAGCAGCTCCAGTAGATATGGTGGGAAAGAACATTCTAGGCAGAGGGAATAGTAAGTGGGAAGGCTGTGAGGAGGGGGCTGCCAGGACCAGCAGGGCCAGGTGTGTCTGGAAGGGCATGAGGGAAGGCGAAGAGCAATGGGAGATGAGAGGTCAGGAGTAGCGTGTGTGTGTGTGTGAGAGAGAGAAAGGTCTTTGCTTTCAGTCAGAGCAAGATGGGAGCCTTTGAAGGGCTATGAGCTCAGGAGTGACATGATCTGATTTGGGATTTATCAGGATCCCTGTGGCTGCTGCACTGAGATGGACTGAATGGGAGTGGGGGCCAAGCAGAAGGACAAGTTTGGAGAGGGTGCAGAGACGGGGAGAGCGGGCTGGTGGGACCTGAGGGCTCACCTTTCCCTCTTCACGATGGTCCTGCAAGGTGCTGGGGTAGGATTTAGTTTGGGTGGGACCGCCTCTCCGCCATTGCCCTCTACCTTCCCTCTGGCAGCTCTCTGTCTTCCCCGTATCTCATGAGTGGAGGTTAAGTGCATCCTTGAGGCTCTCCTGGAGAGCTGATGGCCATGCCTTGGAACAGTCCTGATTCACAGCCCGTGGCTTTAACTGGCTTCACGGAAGCGCCTGTCCAGGGCGTTAACCTCCCTGGAGATGAGAGTCATCATTCACTAGGGAGAAAATGGATATCTTGTAGCTGCTGGCTCTTAGCTCCTCTAAAGCTGCAGGACAAATGACTTAACTGAGCGTACTTCATGCAGGGAGGAGGGGATAGTCTCAGGAAAGGGAATAAAGGTCCTCAAAACTCTGAACCTGGGAAATTGCAGAGAAGCCAGCTTTGGTATGTGTGAATCAGGAAGGAGCCTCACACACTCCTCTCTCAGGGCAAGGTTCTCTTGGCATCGCTTTATGTCCTGAATCGTGAGAATGCCCAGTGTAGGTAAGGAGGAAGAAACGTGTGTTAGCATTAAATACGGTCATCTGATTACTTGTCAATCATGGATTTGAGGAATGGGGATTCTGAAAAGCTTTATCTCCCTGAGGAGAGAAAAGTGCCTCTGTCTAGACCAGGATTTCTTACCCTGGGCGCTGGTGACGTTTCGGGTCTGATAATTCTTTGTTGTGGGAGCTGTCCTGTGCTCTGTAGGATATTTAGCAATATCTGTGGCCCCTGCTCATTGGATGCCAGTAGCATTGTCAAATGTCCCCTGGGTGGGGGGGCTAAGTTGCCCCCGATTGAGAGTCCCTGATTTGGCAGGGACATTGGTGAAGTCAGAGTTTTTTCCTTTGTGTCCTCTCTGGCTAATGACATTGATGGAGTTAAAACTAATGGTGGCTTCTACCCGGTCACTGGGATAGCAGAGCATGCACTGTTCTGCCTCGAGAGGGCAATTTTCCTGTTTTATCTAATAAGGCCCTTGTGATGCCTGGCGTCTGGGCACCCCAACAAATAAGTGTACCTATGAGGCAAAGAAACCAAAAACAACGCCCGCCCTGATTGCCATGGAGGGGGCATGTTTTCCTTCCCCTCTCTCTCCTGGATCCCTGCAATAATTAGCTAAAGTAAAATGAATATTAGCTCATGGTTAACTGCCTTTACAGCGTTCTCGCCGGCACTGACCCAGTAGTGCTAAACCAATTATTTTTTGAACTTTATGGCTTTAAATAATCCTTTGCTCTAAAATTCCCTGTACCCCTCAGCTACTTAACCACAGGCCCCTCTGCCCTAAATCCTTTTCTTATACTTTGTAGCTTTTTAAGCAAGGCACCTCTTTAAGAAGACATAATCCCTTCTCTGTAGAAAACATGAAAGACCTTGAACAAATCAAGATTTCTCCGTGGAGAATTCAGCTAATCCTGTGCTTAGCTCCTAACAAGGAAATCCATCTCTCCACCAAGCACGCCATTACCCGGACTAATGCCTGACTTGAATAACAAGCAAATTATTGTGCTTTTAATTGTACCCTCCTCGGTCACAAAGCACATCTGAGAGAGGAATGTGCCGAGCTTCTCCAGGAGAAACAGGTCATGCTTCTAATCCTCCTTTTCTGTCGCCTTCCCCTCCCCCTTTCCAATCCTTTCTCTTCCCAGCAGTGCAGAGGAAAGAAAAAAAAAAAAAGACAGGTAAATTATGTTTAAAATGGAAGAGTCTAAAAGAAGGAAAAAGGTGGTAAATACTGACTTGGGAGAGGATGAATTATCCGCAGCCTCTGCAGTGTGGCTCATTTGAGGACAATCAGTACTCTAACCCGATTACTGGAGGGCAAGCTTTGTTCCCTAACCCAGGCTTCCTCAGCCTCGGCACTGTTGACTTTTTGGGTTGGATAATTCTTTGTTGTGGGGGGCTGTCCTGTGCATTGTAGGATTTTGAGCGGCTCCCATGTTGTGACAATCCAAAATATCCTAAGACATTACCAAATGTCTCCTGGGGACAAAAATCCCCCCTGGTTGAGAATCACTGCCCCAAACCCCTTCCATATTGGGACATATTTGCTTTCTCCCTTCTGTACACAAACCCCAAGAAAATCATGGTTTCTTGGCAAAACAGGGGAAACAAATGTGCTTTTTATATAAGTAAAATGAGTGGAAAAGAGAAGGACACTAACACGTGTGTTGTGAGGGGTCGGAGAGTGGGAACCCCCCTTCAACATCAAGATTGGAAAAAGTCTTAGGATTTGGTTGTTGTTTCTGGCTTCCATTCAAAGTGGCAATGCCCCTGGGTGAGCAAGCCTGCTTCTCAATGCCTCTGCCTTGTGCACTTTGGAATCGGGCTTGCTGTGGGTGAGGTGAGGGGTGATGGAGAGGCTCCAGAGATGGAGCCTGTTGTATGAAGGTGCTGACACTCTCCGCCCACGGTTTTTAGGACAGCAGAGTACTACCCAGCTTCAGAGCTCTCCATTGCTCAGACAATGACATCCCGTCTTAGACCTGAAAATCAGGACCCAAGAGAGCTACCCACAAAAAGAGACATTATGCAAGCATTGGGCTACACTTCCATTACAGCCATTGAAACAAATATTCCTCACCCCTGCAGATATAAAGGTCCTCCCTAGTTTTAGTAACTTACAAGAAGCATCATTTCTTGTCCTGACAAAGCCAGAGGCACAAGCTGGGAGACGAGCGCACTGCAGTTAGCCCGCATCTCCACTAGATGGCGGTGCACGTCTTCCTGAGAAGCCCGACCCGGCGGCAGGTCGCAACAGCTCCTTGGCCTAAGCAGGACAAGCACCACTCGTCTTTCGGAGACAGCCGTCTCCTCTCATTGTTGGCACAAACAGCCCCAAACAATTGTACTGACCACACAGCTCTAAGCCACATTCCAGGGCGCTGCCGTCTGGTCAGGAGTGAATGCTGGGAAAATGAACCAAGCTGCTAATTTGCTTGATTGGGGGAAAAAGAAGATCTCAAGTAACAATAGCTATAATTTATTTTTCCAACAAGAATAGGGGCCACGCCATTTCATCTCCCCTCCCGACTGCTACCATAAATGAAAGCAATCACCTAATTAGGCCTGAATAACTAACTGGCAGGGTAAAGGATCTGCTGAAAATCAAGCTTAAGTGGGGAATTTGGAGAAAGAGATGTCATTTCTTTGGGAGGAGGGGTGGAGGGAAGTGGAGGGGAGGATCTGAAGCCATTGTGGGGCCCCGGGGCCCTGCAATCTGGGGCTGTGCTGGCCCTGACCCTGGGAGATAAAGAGGCTCAGGGATTTCTCCAGGCCATTCATCTCGTGCAGGCGAATGACTTTCTAAACGGAGGAAAAAGAATCTCTTGGGGAAGACATACCCGTGAGCTCCTTTTAAAACGTTACAGATGGAGACGAATTGGCTTGGGAAAGAGAACACAGCCCTGTGGGGCCCGGCCACCCCACTGATGGGGCTGGATGGGGGGACCCCACAGGAAGGTTCTTGAATGCTCTCTCTCCTGCCACGCAACAAGGGAAATTACAGGCAAATCTGAAACCAAGTTTGGATTGAAGTCGTTAAGAAATATCCCAAAGGCATGAAATAAATGCTTAGTTACAGATTTTGTTTGTTCCCTGTGTCTTTATGAATCACCTCTTCCCCAGCTGAAACCATGAATGTCCCCACGCCGCGGTGTGGGGCCCTGTCCTCCAAGAACAGGGAAACCAGAGGAGAGTATGTAAGTGCTGAATTCTTCCCCTTGAAGGCTCCACAAATTGAAGTACTATTTATTTGTTCGGAGATGACTTCTTGTTTTTTAGTTAGATGTGACTCTAATTGAAATACTTTACTAATGCGATTTGTCACAACTGTAAACTGTCAGTTGCCACAGCTGTTGCTTTCTTAGAGCGATCTGGCAAATGAGTGTGCGTAAAAGCACAGACTTGGAAGGCTGAGAGGCCGGCGGCTCCGGCTTCCTCTTTTCCCCGCTTAGCCGGCCCGCAGGCCCCTCACTCCCGCCAAGACCTATGCTCCTCTTCCTTCGGGGCACCCGCTTCCATTCTAGTGCACATCTGTTGCTTTCGGCTGCTAAACAGCCAGTCCCTCTCTCCTGGGAGGGGTACCTCATTTTTTGGGGGGGGGAGCTGCCCTTCTCCTCATCTCAGTTCGTGTGGCTTAGATGGCGTTGACCCCACCTGCCTCCCCACATGCTGTAGGGTGGGCATGCAGCTGAGCTCTGGCCAAAAGCCTTCCGCTTGGAAGTGAAGTTCCACCCCTCCTGGTCACAATAGTTGGCTCTCAGGGTTGCCACAATTAACGAAGCAATAACAATAAACAAAACCGAAACAGGACCCGTTCAATTTGAACTTCAGATAAACAATGATGACTTTTTAGTATGTCTTAAATATTGCGTGCCCTGTACTTAAACTAAAAAATCGTTGTGTATCTGAAATCCAACTTTGATGAGTCATCCTGTATTTTGTCTGGCAACCCTATTGGTTCTCAGCAGAATGTTTGACCAAAGCGGGTCAAATCAGAATCAGCCCAGGACCGTCACTTGAGTTTTGGGGAAAAAAGTACTTAAAGAAATCTGTTTGCGGGGCCAACCCCGTGGCTTAGCGGTTAAGTGCGCATGCTCTGCTACTGGCGGCCGGGGTTTGGATCCCGGGTGCACACCGACGCACTGCTTCTCGGGCCATGCTGAGGCAGCGTCCCACATACAGCAACTAGAAGGATGTGCAACTACGACATACAAGTATCTACTGGGGCTTTGGGGAAAAAAGGAAGGATGATTGGCAACAGATGTTAGCTCAGAGCTAGTCTTCCTCAGCAAAAAGAGGAGGATTAGCATGGATGTTAGCTCAGGGCTGATCTTCCTTGGAAAAAAAAAAGAAATCTGTGTGGGTTGGTAGGCTGGTAGGATATGCTGGTGGCCATCTTTGCTCCCAGGTGGGGACAGCTGCCTGAATTGGAAGCCAGTGCTATGGAGAGCAGACCTGTTTCATTTGAACAGGTGGATCCAGCTGTTCCTGAAGCTGTCCCTGTGGTTGGTGGAGGTCAGGCTGCTGATGGCCAGACGGGATCATAATTTTCTACTTCTCGGGCCAGGGAAGTAAAGACAGCAGTGCCAGAATGTGCCCACTGGGCATGGCTTCCATTCAACTAAAAGAGTGATGAATGGGTATCGGGCAGCAAAAATAACCCATGTCTACTACACACATATTGCTTTCTAGTTGTTTTGCTGTGTGTGAACTCTTTGTTCTGTTGCATTAGCTCTTCTTCAGGACATCGTGGCTGGAGACAGGGTCTGATACACCTGCATTTGGAACTGGAGTCTTGAATTTCAAATTCACCTCTGCCTGGTTGAGTGGTTTAGAGTCATTTGATCTCTAAAATGTTGAGTTTCTTGGTCTGAAAACTAAGGACGGAGCTTATCTTCATTCAATCTGCTGTAACAAACTACCAGAGACCGGGCAGCTTAAACACAACAGACATTTATTTCTCCCAGTTCTAGAGGCTGGGAAGTCCAAGATCAAGGCCCAAGCAGATTTGGTGTCTGGTGAGGACCCACTTTGTGGTTCACAGATGGAGTCTTTTTGCTGTAATCTCACATGCCAGAGGGGACAAAACAGCTCTGTGGAGTCTCTTTTTTAAGGACACTAATGCCCTTCATGAGGGCTCCACCCTCACGCCCTAATCACCTCTCGAAGGCCCCACCTCCAAATACCATCATCTTGGAGGCTAGGATTTCAACATAAAAGTTTTGAGGGGACACAAACATTTAATCTATAGCAGAGGTGCTTTCCCAATAGCAGGGAGCGAGGATTTCATGAGGTAAAGTGTGTCAGCATCTGTCACAGGGCCTGGTGTGGAGCAGGTCCCCACCGAGGTCTTCTCTCTTCTCTTTCTCCTTCTAAGAGAGAATATTCTTCACTCCCCTCCTATATAACTTAAGAAGAATGATAAGCAAAGCCCCCGAAGACGAGCATTGCCAGCACTATGGCTGTTCCTGTTATCACCAAGCATTAGGTGATCATTTGTAGGTACTTGGTGGTTTTCAAGCATTTTCACCTACATCTTCTCACTTCCTGTTTTGGCACAAAATCTCCTCTCCCTTTATTTTGGTTTTCAGCTCATTGTACTCTCTGGACAAGAGCTTTGCTTTGTATTGTGATATGTAGTGAAGCATTTGAAAGTTGGTCGCTGTCTTTCTGTATCTCAGTGACCTTTACCCAGTTTTAATTATTTGGATATTTGAGATTAATTGACAAATTAATTCTTTCCTCTGTTAATTAAGCCTGGTCATTTTTACTCTATTAAAGTTGGTCCATTTAACCGAAATAAAAAAAGTGAGGGCCACAGCACTGTTTAATAGTGACACTGCTGTATGCCACTTGGAATTTTCCAGAATTTAAAGAGGTAGGTTTGGGATCTCTAATCAGGAAGAGGTTAGATATGGAACTTACTTTCTGGAGTTGGAGGAATCAGTGAGGTCATCTCCCCTTCTCCTTTTACAGGACGTCTGAGGGGTCAGGCGAGGAGGGGATTCCACAAACCCTGGGGGTGGTGGTCTTGCCCCAGTAAGCCAGTGACAGTCAGGACTCGAATCCGGACCCCGGACCCGCTGACGCCGACTGCGGGACGCTCGCAAATCTGGCAGCACACACGTCCCCCAGGACACTTCAGAGAGGCTTCAGCTGGACGAGTTGCTCTGTTTTGAAACTCAGCGACGTCCGACATGTCCAGACGGGTGCGCGTCTCCAGTGGGGAGGAGGGGCGGCAGGGCCAGAAGGTTCTTTGAGGGTCTCTGGGAATGTGCACAGGCGGCTGGAGTGTGGAGCTGGCGGAGATGAACTTTAGACAGATGTGCACAGGGGATGCGTTTGTCCACTTCTGGCTGTGAAATAACAGAGGCACAGAACCTCGGGGAATTAAGATAAGACACGGTCACCTCTCAGGGG